ATATCTACACAGTATTACTGCTCAGAGCAGAAGTTGAGCTCCGTCAAAAACGTCAAGAAGCGCATACAGTCTTGTTCTTTGCGGATAGGGCGGACGAGGGGTATATACTTTCAATCAATTATCGAAATCAGAAGTGGTAGTGTCGCAGAGCGGCTGAGTAAAAGGACTAAAAGCGCATGGAATTGGGAAATTTCTCGATTAGTTTTACCTAGACCAAATCCAACCTTCTCGTTGGAGATCGTTGGGATCACTAGATTTGCACCAAATGGGCCCAGCACCCAAACCGGTCATTCAGCTTGCTTTCCTCCTCCAGTGCCATACCTTACTCTCCCAATCTTACTGACACTGTGAGAGGTACAAATTTTAACTCTTTTTTCAAGAGGTCTTGACGCGTTCATCTACGATGCGGTCGTACTCGATTATTGGGCTGGGAAAGACGCTAACTGCGAGCTTATGATGGTGAGTGCGACGTTACCACACTCCTCCTGGAAGCTTGCTTTTCCTAAGAAGTACGAGTTCAGGTCGGCAAATGGGCAAGCAGAACAGGATACGGTTTTGGATTCCCCAAGAACTCGCCCTATACTGCAATGGTCAATCAAGTACATGCTACAGTACCAACAGAAAGGTAAGATGTAGTATCTGAGTAACAACCATCATGTGATCCCAATGGATTCTAGGTGATCTTGAACGGCTAGCCAACTTCTGGCTGACGGGAGCATGCTCGCCGGACAGTCACAGTCAAACGCACTCCGCTCCTTTGGGAATAGAGAACTTTCTCTCGGCGTTTTTCCTTCTCGCTGGAGGCATAGTTAGTTACCTTACTGACAGTGAACTGTTAAATAGCTCTGGTACTCACCGTATGGGGCAATGTGCTTTCTTTCAATTGTAGGAGGGCTACTTTCAGATTTTCTCAGTGATTGTGCTTGGTTGTGAGTTCTTCTTCATTCGTCACCTAAGAAAGCCACTGCAAAAAATCGATCCTAATGGATGGTGCGGTATTATCAGCATGGTGAGCGATAATTCAAAATTGTTCACCATTAATTACCCAGGTGGCACCGATAGGGAAGAGACGTGACGGCAGACAAGTGGCATGCCTTACAGGAGCATTCCGCAATTACAGCCGTCATCAGTAAAGCCAGCCGGGCGGTCAGCGAGGCATAGCTCCGACGCGGCGCCAGCCCGTTTTCTTTGCTGTTTCCGCCGTTCATTGAGAGGTGGGAAAGGATCTGGCGCCGCGCAAAACTCGCGCACCGTTTCCTCTTGCGTCCCATTCTTTTTTCTCCCATTTTTCTTTCCTTCCTTCTTCTCCTTCTCTATCACTCTCCCTTCACATACTCAGCCAGTAAATGCGATGACAGCATACATTTGGACCCTCACAGCGAGAGAACGCTCGGTTGACAGAAGCCCTGTTACCCTTTTTCGCGGCCGCAGTCAGTCACGAAGGCGGTAGGGTCAAACGCCATGGCCTCCCCCTCTCCCCCTGGCCACCTCACCCAAAGGTAAACGGTATAGCATCTACATTTATGAGAGAACAATACCATATCTACGTAAGACAATGCCTGTCGTCTCCCTCGTCTTTCTGCTCTCTCATCCTTTGTCTCTAACCTCTCTCCCGCGCTCGCAGTGACTTCGTTTCCCGCTTCTCGTCTGATGCTGAAAATCAGCTAGAAGACCTCGCTAGAGGACTCTTCGGCAACTTTGCCCACTTTCTCTGTAAGATGTACTATTTGTATGACACTACCCACGAGTTGCAATTGCGTAAATGTTTGCAACACTGAAATACAACAATTCTTCCTCTATCAGTACATCGCAAATCATGAAGCAGTGATCAGGTATATGGGTGGTATCGGTGCAGGTGAAAGTCAAACCATATAAGGTTTTTTTTTCTTGAAAAATCCTACTAAATCCTTCCAGGCAATGGGCAAGTCCCTCACGTTGCCGGAAGCAGTCGACCGAGTGCGGGAATGGCGGCACAGAGCGCAATCGCTCAGTCCACAGTCACCTCTCCCAAGGAACTCAATCACAATGTAAGAAGAAGCAACCGTGTGCATTTAAGATGACGTTTAATACAATGTGTTCAGATCAAAGAAACCAGCGCCACCTCCACAGAACCCAGAACCTGTTCTGAAGAAAAGATTCCTGCAAATTGAGACGAATTTGTAGTTCGTAAAGATGATCTTCATAAATTACCTACTTGTGCTTTTAGTCAGCTGGACCGAAGAGATCTTGGGTGCAGTTTGACGACGGGGGGGGGGGCATTTTGCACTTTCGCTACTTCCCATCGACGTGTCGACCTATCTAGGCAGCCTCTTCTCGAGTTGACAGGTTTTACCATGATGGCTAGATGAGCTTGCTCCAGCTTCACAAGAGTTCACAGGTTTCGCCAGGAGACTTGTAAACCGGAACTAGGGAAGCAATGATAGTACAAAATGCCCCCCCCCCGTCTTCTAGATCTAGCCTGAAATGAGGTGTTCCTATGAACATTTTTGTAAATAGAATTCAAAGGGAGAGCTGCTAGGGTTGCAGAGGACACTGAATAACACTGTTACCGCATAACAGGCCCTGAACATCTATCCTGTGTTTTGCTACTAGACCTTTCTTGGGAAATACGATGGGGGCAAGCGTAAACGAACAAATTCATACTACTTTCATACTACATATTCATACTTGCGACTCGGGATAACAGGAGAATCGAAGAATGCTTGCCAACAGAAAGAATAGGTATCGATCCAAAGTTTTGGTGGAATCGAAGAAGCGTGGGTTTAATGTTCTAGGGGAATTTGCACAAAAAAAGTGAATGGAAGTCAAGCAATTTTTCTATTCTCTTATTCCCCGAGAACGCCAGATCGGCACCTGTACTTATCCTTGTGCGCATGCTCCTATTCTCCGATTCTCCCAAAACGCTCCCGGCGGGTGTCGATCGATACACATCCGCTCCTTTGGCGCGTATTCTCCCAAGCGTCGATCCCGCTTCTCACCTACCAGAGAATGACCTATGGTGGAGAGTCCCAGCAGGGGTCGTATACGGTGAGGGAGCGTATATAGCATGAGAAAACATTTTT